TTTTTTTTTTTTTTTTTTTAATGAGGTTAGCAGCTCGTGCCGTCCTGGCCTGAATTCGAGACCCATCTGGATGCAAGGCCCATGCTCAATATCTAGAGTCTGTATGTGGTAAACATTAAATCTGTTACCATTCTCCACACACAATCTAATTAGTCAAAGGCCATCTTCAGCTTGTCATCCCCCAAGTGCAGTGCTGGTGAAGCCATCAGGAGAGAGGGGGGAGGGCCAGACCCTTGTGCTTTGCTCCCCCGGCCCCTCATCCGCCTGTGCCTGCCCCCTCCATGCCTGCTGCACCAGCTGCTGCAGCCTCCCCACCCCCTATACTTTCCCCTGCAGCCTGCCCCCTTGCCCTTCTTTGCACTGGTCCATGAGCCTTGCTGCCTGTTCTTGCCCCCACCCCCTGCCCTTTACCATCTGCTGTACCTCTGCTCCAGCTCTGGGGCAGTCAGCAGCAGTGGCCCCAGCCCCAGTCCTTCCAGGTAGAAGCAGTGGCAGCTCCCACTTGGGCTGGGTGGGTCCAGGCTGGCAGGACCAGGAGCAGAAGGTAAGGGAGGAAGGGGGCAGGTGCTGGGGGGTGGGCTACAGGTTCCCCTTCCACCACCAGCCTGTGGTCTCCCCTGTGCTCACCTGGCTGTGAGCCTCCTTCCCCATTAATGAGATGTTCTGGTCTGTGGCTGGCAGTGGCTCAGATCTGACTTCAGCCCAGCACTTTGGCCAAAGCCAGAGCTGAGCCACAGCCTGCCCCAGGTCCAGTACCTGAATTGTAGATCAGGTCCTTTTATTTTATTCCCTTTACTCCAAGAGGCTTGTTTTGGATTTGAGTAAGCACAGTGTTTGAATGAAACAGCTAGTAGAGTTAGGTTTGAGCCAACTAACTGAATAACTTTAGAATGACAGTACTTGATTGTTATTAGACAGGTAGTTGGTAGTTGAGAAGGAAATTTACTGAGCGTTTTCTCCTCTCCCCCCACCCCCCAATAAATACTTGTTAAAAGTTAACTACTGAAATTGTAGAGAGTCTGGAAAAAATGCTGAAATGAGTTTCCATTGCGTGGCTGGTTGTTTTGGTAACCTCTTATCTTCAGGATTTTTTTTTATCTCCTTGGGATAGCCTGAAGTAGTAGTCACTTCCCAGAAAGGCACAAGATTTACAGTAATGATATTTAATTTTAGTTTTGTATTTTGGTTGATTCATTTTTAGATGGTGTGACATCAGCCAACTTGCGTCATTTTTTGGTGAGACATACTTTTCCCTGCCAGTACTTATCAGTCATCCTGCTTTCTAGAACAGCCAGGAGAATTACTGATTTAGGACTACACTTGACTTGTCAGTGAATTTAAGTTTTATAACACAAGATTCTTTTTCCCTGCTACTGGAATACCAACCACAAACCTGCAACCGAAACTCAAGGGTGGTATTTTTTTAAATTGGATTAGCTGGCCCAAAAGGAAGATGCCTGTTGAGTAGTGTTAGTTTACATCCGTACTATAGACAAGGCTTATTAACAATCAACAGAGCCTAAAGCTCAAGTGCTATTAGTCCTTTAGGTCCACAGTTGTATTGAGATGCCTCTTAAGCAACAGATTCCTGAAGAAAAGCCCACCCCTAAAAACAGTAGCTTTCCTAAGGGTTGACAGATTCTAGAAACTGTTTTTGCATGAATTCACAATAAATCTCTGGCCCTTGCTATGCTTCAAATAGTTTTAATTGTTTAACATATACATTGTCCAGTGTTACACTTACGCTAGCATTTGTGACAGCTTGGGAGAGCACGGTGAAGTGCAGTATTCAGAAGTTTCTCTGCCCCCCCCCCATTGTCTCAGAAAAGGAGTCAATCAAACCCTTGTGAACCAGACCTATTTGGATAGAGGTGCACTGATATATCAGTCCATATTGCATTGGCACTGATTAAAGGAAAATTGACATTATCAGCAATTGGCTTTTTTGGCTGATGTGGCCAATAAATGCCACACACATGTATGTGGCCAGAAACACAGCCTGGCAGCTTGGAGAGCAGTGTCTTGCTGGTAAGTCTGTGGGAGGGGAAGAGGTGGCTGCGGGGGTGGGGCAGCTCCTGCTACTGCACTCACCTCAGGGGGAGGCATGGGGTGTGTGCCCCCCCCCCCCAATCCGTGTGTGGAGCAAGGGTGGGCTGCTGCTGCATGCTGTGGGCCAGTGCCAGGCTCTTCTTGGTGAGGGTGGGATGTGGGCCAGGGCTGTGCTTGGGGTGCCACTGTGAACTTGGGGCCAGGCTCTTCCCAGTTGGGGGTGGGGGGCGGTGAGGAGGGATGGACAGACACTGGGCTGGGGCTGTGCTTGGGATAGGCAGCAGCAGCACTGGGAGGGGGTGCTATGGAAAATTTTAGGGTGGCTGTAACTGCCACCCTAAAATTTTCCATAGGTAGCAGCAGCACTGGGAAGGGGCACTATGGAAAATTTTAGGGTGGCAGTTACAGCCACCCTAAAATTTTCCATAGCACCCCCTCCCAGTGCTGCTGCTGCCTATCCCAAGCACAGCCCCAGCCCAGTGTCTGTCCATCCCTCCTCACCGCCCCCCACCCCCAACTGGGAAGAGCCTGGCCCCAAGTTCACAGTGGCACCCCAAGCACAGCCCTGGCCCACATCCCACCCTCACC